CAATTCTCCTGCCTCAGCCTCCTGAGTAGCTGGGATTACAGGCACGCGCCACCATGCCCAGCTAATTTCTTGTATTTTTAGTAGAGACAGGGTTTCACCATGTTGACCAGGATGGTCTCGATCTCTTGACCTCGTGATCCACCCGCCTCGGCCTCCCAAAGTGCTGGGATTACAGGTGTGAGCCACCAGAGCCAGCTTTTAGTTTTCAAGAGTACCATTTCCCTGAGCCCTGAGGTTCTACCCTGCCTCAGTTTCTTCGTGAAGTCATTCTGTCACTTGCGGGCATGAAGGCAGCTGGCAAGAGTGAACCTCTTCCTCCTGATTTCTCCCTGTCTTGCAGCTTCTTTCCTTCTTCCCTTTTAAAACCAACCCGCTGGGTCAGGGGATACCTAGTGGGCCTTTGTCGGGGAGGTGAGAAGGCAGGTCAACATTAGAGGGCAGTTTGGGCTCCTCCTCCTGATGCCCTCTGAGCTGCTTCTGTGGAATGTTCCTAGTTTGCACGTGTCCCTGGGCACTTGGCCACCTCTCCCCTTGGTGGCCACATTTGCCTAGTTGCAGGGAGCAGCCCAGAGGCTCAGGTCACACAAGCTCTGAGATGGAGCAGCCGTGAGAGCTCTGCCCTATCTGGAACCCTTGCCCCAGAACAGTAGATCGCCTTTAAAGACAAAAAAGGCAGTGGGAACCTCTTTTCATTACAATAGGACACCCTGAATACATGCAGCAGGTTCTCGGGGAGCTGCTGTTTTGAGGAATGTGGAGTGGAATAGTGTAACAATAGCCACAGAACCTCCTTGACCCCCACCTCCACCTCCATCCGTAGCTGCCCCAAAGATGCAGCAGCAAACCCGGGAACTCAGGAAGCGTCATCTGTGAACACTGTGTATTTTTAAAAAGTGGAGCTCATAGAAGTATAAAGTAGAACAGAAGGTTCTAGAAGCTGGGAAGGGTAGAGAAAGTAGGGGATAGGGAGAGATTTGTTGAAGGACACAAATTACAGTGAGGTAAGAAGAATGTGTTTGGGTGTCCTATAGCATTGTACGATGATAAGAGATAACAGTAGGGTATTAGACAGCTTCAAATAGCTAGAGGGAGGATATTATTTCCAACCCAAAGAAATGATCAATGTTTGGATGATGGGTATGCTAATTACTTTGATTACTATACATTGTGTGTACCAAAACATCACTATATACCCTATAAATACATACAATTGTTATGTGTCAGTTAAAAAAATTTTTTTTAAAGAAAATCCTGCCTAGTTCTGTATTGCTGCTTTCTAAAGGTAAACTTTGGACCTCAAGTGTTTCACAGAATTGAATAAGGAAGCTCTTTTCTGTGACTGATTCTTCATTAAGCAACAGTGAGGAGGTAGTTGCAATGATTTCTTTCTAATTCTACTAGGGGGTGTGTGTGTGTGTGTGTGTGTGTGTGTGTGCATGTGTGCGCACGCGTGCACACACACTCACGTTCAACCTGCCCTAGTTTGAGGGTTAACCTATTCCAGGCACAATGCTAAGTGCTGGAGATATGTTATCTCATTCAGCCTCTATGAATTAAGGAGGGCAGGTAACTTACCCAAGGCCACACACATCCAGTGAGTGGTTTTGATTATGAAACCCAGATCTGTTTTACCCTCTATCCACCATGCAGTTACCACCACTACAGTGGAAATCTGCATATCCAGGGCAGGCTGGCTCAGAGATTCTGCAGGGATTTCACTTGGTACCCAGGCACCATCTTTGCCCTGAAGTAACTCCAAGGCTAATGGCATGAAACAGAGCCAACCAGCCTTAATGCTGCCAGGTACAGAGAGGGGCTCTTGAGCCGTGGAGTCTGCCAAGACTTTCTTGCCTATTTTCTGTGGGCTTGGAATCTAGGCTAATTATTGTAAATGATAATAATTTGGGTAGCATTAATGAGCCGTGGAACTCAGGGCCAAATCTTGACTAATCCCATAACTAGCAACATGATCATCCGAAAAGTGTGTGCTTTACCTCCCTTGAGTTTCACATTGTTGTGATTTGTGTCATTCCTGAACAGTTAATTCTAAGATTGGACTTAATAAATCATTTCCTATTGAAAGGTTAGGCAAGGGTGAAAGGGAAAACAATGAATTTTTCACTGGAGCTAGAAATCCTTTAATCTTCTTGGACCCAAGTTTCTCTAGGCCTGTTTTTTAAAGCTAGAGTCTGACTTCCTTCCAGTATTGTTTTACATTCTTACTGATTCTTTCAATGATGAAGCAGAGAGTACCTCAGTAAATGCTCCTGAGTCTCCAAATGTGATTGGTGACTGTTATTAAGAGAACCGGATGAAAAGTCCAAATGATTTAGCCATGTAACCTAGGAGGGACGTAAACTGGAGATAATTGAGGACTGGTAAACACAGGGTGATTAGCTTACAGAGGGAGAGAACCTGAACCATTTCAAAAAGGGGAACCTGCAATAATGTCCCGTGATGTGCTGTGTGAATATGATGCTATCTGGATTTAGTAAATGAGAACCATGAGGTCCTGGATTTTTGGTAAGGATAAAGCTTTCATGTGTCCCATTGCATTGGAGACCTGCAACTGAAGTATGTCAGAATCCAGGAAAGAGCTACAAATAGCCAAGGCAGGTGGATCATGAGGTCAGTAGTTCAAGACCAGGCTGACCAACATGGTAAAACCCCGACTCTACTAAAAATACAAAAATTAGCCAGGCTTGGTGGTGGGTGCCTATAATCCCAGCTACTTGGGAGGCTGAGGTAGGAGAATCACTTGAACTCAGGAGGCGGAGATTGCTGTGAGCCAAGACCATGCCATTGCGCTGCAGCTTGGTGGTAAAGTAAGACTCCATCTCAAAGAAAAAAAGGAAAAAGCTACAAACATAAGTCAAAGATTGGAACATAGGTTCTACAGTGGAGCAACTTACAGGTGTTAGATTTTTGTTACCAAGAGGAGATAAAAATTATAGCATCCAAGTATATGACTGAGAACATTGATTAGGTTGTTCATTCAAGCTAATATTTGTTAGCTGCTTTGGAGGCATAAAAATAGTATGTTTCTGTGGTGATAGATGTATTCTCTGTTTCAAGCTCAAATTGAGTAGAGGAGGGAAAGAACAAAATCTATGTCAGAGTCAAAATGTCCTTAGACATTGAGAGTTCTTGATGATTAGGTGTGTAAGAGCCTGTATGTATGGTAATTGATGGAATACAGGTTTTCTGCTCAGAGACTTTAAATAAAAGAGAATAGTACAATTATGGGGACAATTTAAGTGAAGCAGAGATGTTTGATACCACGGCACAGTTCTTTCTAGCCTTATGATTTGCAATGCCTTTTCTACCATTGGAAGAAACAGAACTGTTGATTCTGGGAATTCTGATTAGATTATTCTCAGGTCTGTCAACTGTTTACTAAAATTGTCCAAAACTTCTGTTGTTTCCTATGGAAATACAAATTTTTCTCCCTCCTACCAAAGAAATCCTGCCAAGGTTTTATTGGGGTTACATTGATTCCGTTGTTTAATTCATGAAGAATGAACATCTCTACAACATCAGGCTTCTAATCCTTGATCACGGTATATCTCTCTCTTTATTTAGGTCTTTAATTTTTCTCAGCAGACTGTGATACTCTTCACGGTAGCGATCTCGCTCATCTTTAATTAGATTAATCTCCCTAGGTATTTGAAGTTCTTTGATGCAGGTGTCAGTGGCATGGTGGGAGCCCCTGAAATGCACACCCACTAACACCTGTCCATTTCTGACACTTCTGTTCACCATGGGCATGCAAAGTAAAGTTATAATCAGCTTTTCCGTTTGTAGAGAGTCAGTGTTCCTTTTCTAACCCATCAAGGTAGAAAAGCATAATAGCTTCACTGCAGGAAACTTATTTCAGAATCCAAACACTGGCAGCCCAGAAATTACTCCTTCAGTCTAACCTAAATTCCTCCTGTTGGCATTTCAGCTTATTTTCCTTCTGTTTGAAGATTGCCTTCCACAAAGGTTTCCTATCTGGCACTCTGCTATTGAAATCATCACGTTTTACCCAGGAAAAGCATGTTAAAATATGCATAACTTTTATTAGGAGGGAATTTGCTCATGATACAAAACATGAGGTTAAAAAATACAATAACATTCTAATTTTATTTTTTAAATATATGTGCTTAGGGAGAAATGCCAAAAGAAAATGTGTAACAGTGGTTATTTCTGGGTGATTAGTTAATGGACTATTTTTATATTTGTCTGCATTCTCAAAGCTTTTATGATCGACATGCATTATCTTTGCACTAAGCAAAAATAATAAGCATTTTTAAGTGAACAAAATAACGTTTTAAATATGTATTAGGGCTGGGCACGGTGGCTCATGCCTGGAATCCCAGCACTTTGGGAAGCTGAGGCGGGTGGATCACTTGAAGTCAGGAATTCAAGACCAGCCTGGCCAATGTGGCGAAACCCCGTCTCTACTAAAAATACAAAAATTAGCCGGGTGTAGTGGCGGGTGGCTGTAACTCCAGCTACTCGGGAGGCTGAAGCACGAGAATTGCTTGAATCTGGGAGGCAGAGGTTGCAGTGAGCCGAGATCGTGCCACTGTACTCCAGGCTGGGCAACAGAGTGAGACTGTCTCAAAATAAATAATAAGTAAATAACTAAATACGTATTAAAATTGCTGGCGTGCACTTTTCTTTCCCCCTTTCTTGTATAAAGCCTATTAGAATTTCCTAGTAAAATTAAAACCAGTATGTGACATATCTTAAGATAATCAAGAAAAATAAACTTCTTTTTCAGGAAGACACCAAACTGTCTGTCTTCCTGCCAGTTCTTCTGACTAGCTATAAATTCCATGCAGTGCTGGAATGTGCTTCTCACAGTTAGAGTGCTGAGCACCTGTTTTATTTCACACTCCCTTGATTCCTGGGCTAAATCCCATCTCCGCAGCCTGGGCTCCAGTTAAATTCATTAGTGGTCCAGATGTGTGTCCCCTGTCAGCTGGCCAAGTAACCCCACTGTTTATTGACAGGTTCTCAGGAATCAGATAGCTCACAGTCGGCCAAGAAGGACATGCTGGCTGCCTTGAAGTCCAGGCAGGAAGCTCTGGAGGAAACCCTGCGTCAGAGGCTGGAGGAACTGAAGAAGCTGTGTCTCCGAGAAGCCGTAAGCCTTTCCTAGCTCGTCCTGTTGAAATTGGTGTTGTCTGTGATGTCATTGATCTTTCTGATGTCATTTGATTATTTTGACAGAAGGCAAGGGTGGTGATAGAAGGAGAGCCTATCTGGCTGGTAAACACTCTCCTGCAACACAAATGTTGGAAATGTCCAAACCTCTCTAACGTGCTTTGTCAGAGAAAGAATTAGAGCAGAATCACGTTAGCACAAATCCATTGCAAATCTTAGAAAAGCAATTGGCCTGGCTGGGGAATGCGCTATATGATACTGTTAGTATTAGTGAATTTTTATAAAGAATATGCTTAAAGGGTTGGAAAACATAGGGCTTTTGGTGTCTGCCTTTAGTAATTTGGAAAGCCTTGTTTTGTTTTCAGTAAAAGAAAAGGTCCCTAAACCCATCAAAGAATTAGCTGATGAAGCACTATGAGGACCAGTTAAAGTTGGTGCTGGTGAAATCTCAGATAGGACCCCACGGGAGTCCATGTGACAAGTCCTAATGATGATCTTTCATCCTTGCTTGGTAGTTCATAAAGCATCTCCTCACGTGATGCCTCATTGATGATAATGGCTAGCCGCCGTCTTCTCAAGGCTTTGTGCCCGAGTTTATTGTTGTGGTGGCTTTTGTTCATCTTTAGGGTATTTCAGATTAGTCTTTGGACATCTTAGTGAGATGCACTGGTGGTCAACAAGGAAACCAGGATCTCACTTCATATATAATCACCTTTAGACCCTGTGATCTGGTGTTTCTTTAACTTTTTCATTAAAAAGAAATGAAATCTTAGCCTAATGACATTTTTAAATGTTACGTAGCCTGGGTGCAGTTGCTCACACCTGTAGTACTAGCACTTCGGGAGGCTGAGGCAGGAGGATCACTGGAGGCCAGGAGTTAGAGACTAGCCTGGGTAACATAGTGAGACCCTATCTCTACAAAAAACTTTTTAAAAAGATAGCCCTAAGTGGTGGTGTGTGTCTGTACTCCCAGCTGGTGGGGAGACTGAGGCAGGAGGATTGCTTGAACGTGGAAGGTTGAGGCTGCAGTGAACCATGATCACGCCATTGCACTCCAGCTTGGGTGACAGGGGAAGACCCTGTCTCACCAAAAAAAAAAAAAAAAAAAAAATGCAAGTAATGCTTTCTCAAGCCTGTGTATGTGCTAGTCTCACAGAAGTTGCTGCAGGCTGCTGTCTACATTTGTTTAAATACCCATTTCCACCTTCTTCTGTTTATTGCATGACTCTGTTAGAAGTGTTTGAAGACTTCATGTTTTAATGCAGTATACGTGACTGTGTGTGTGTGCGCACACGTGTGCATTGTATACCTGGGCACAATGGGGTGGGAGCTCTCTAGGGAGAGAGCGACTGTGCACCACCTAACATTACAAAGAGCTCTGCTGGTAAACAGTTCAGAATGCGAAGTCAAAGAGGTTCCCAAACTAAGTCAAAGAGACGTATGCCCCTCCCCCAAATACTGAAGCCCTGCAGCAGGAAGAATGAAACAAGGGGCCGGGGAGTGAGATCACATTACATTTCAACTTGGCTTAATTACAGTCTGGCTTGATTTAAACCCAGGCCTGCTTGGAGCAAACCACATTAGCACAAAACCATTGCAAATCTTAGGAAAGCAATTGGCCTGGCTGGGGAATGTGCTATGTGATACTGTTAATATTAGCAACATTTTTATAAAGAATAGGCTTGAAGGACGGGAAAAGATACAGATTTTGGTGCCTGCCTTTAATAATTTGTGCAGCCTTGTTTTGTTTTTAATGAAAAGTCCCTAAACCCAGTAGGCAATCGACATTTGAAAAACGCAAGGCGCATGTCAGGGCAAGATGAGCATGCGTTATCAGAAAAATCTCAGCGTCTCTCTGAAAGACAAAAGCAAAAGAAGGAAAACAAAGCTGCCACTTCTTATAATGTTAACTAACACCAGACAACGTAACTTGAGTGGAGGCAATAACCCACCAAGGAGTCCGTTGCAGGCAGATTTCTCCTCCGTTCATCCCCTATTGTCTCTCTCACCTTAGCCTCTTGACTCCCATGTCCTCAAGGGCTGGGGAAAGTCTTCTTGCTAAATCTGTGCTGTTTTGTATCTCTGCCCTCAGCTCAGAGTATCAAGAAGTGCTGTTTGATCCCTGGGAAGGGGGGCAACTAGGATGAGAGAGAGGGAGAACATTTGGCAGGATACAGGGAGGCACCACGCCGAGGTCCCACTGCAGAGCGTTAAATTACGTCTTCACCATGCAGCTCCAGTTACACATGAAATCAGATTAAATATCTGGAGAATCAAGACTTCGACTCAAATACCTTCAAGTGCATGGTGAAAAAAATCAGTGGCCTCATTGAAACTAGATTTTAAAACCAAAAGCAGTTTAGAGTTCTAAATCTATGGCAGTTTTAACAACTTTTCCCTCCTTTTTGGAAGTTTCTAGGTTAAAGAAAAAATAAAATCCTGACAATATAAAACCCCCAATAGTTGTGTTATTTATAGATGCACTTTTAGGGAAGCAGATTTAAAAAAAAAAAGTTGCGGAATAAACACTTAACTACCTTGGAGACATTTGAACCACATTTTTTTTTTAAAGAAAAAAAACAGGGAAGTAAATTGCAGGGAGTTTGATACTCAGATAGTTGGCTATTGTGCTCTGAAATGCTTACATTGAGGAATATAAAGTCCATGGGGTCATTGCCCAGCGATCTGAACACAGCAGGGCAGAAGCAGGCGAGTGAGGGTTTAAGTGTGCTGATGCTCATGTCACATGCACACACACGCACACATGCACGCACACGCACACACATGCACACATGTACACACGCATGCACTCGGCACACAGTAGGTAGAGAAGAAGGGCCAGAATCACACTCTCACGGTTTGGATTTTCCCACCTGCTGGGCACTCAGGGCTGGGCTGCCCTGCATGAAAGCTTTCTGTGTGACTGACGGATGTGCCTGAAAAGAGCCTTCTCAACTTCCTGGTCAGAGCAGCTCCTGAGTCTTTGTGTAGCATCCTCGCTGATTTGGGCTAGAAAGTCAGAGCTGGTCTTTGCCTGGCAGTGCCCACTTTGCCATTGGAGACACACACAGTGGGTCCCCCAGCTTTTTCTGGTCCCTGGAAGTGACTTCTTGCAGTTGATGACTGGCTTCCGCAGTGCAGGGCAGCCGCTGACTCTGATTTGATCATTGTTCAGCCCTGATACAACTCAATCACAGACAGCCTGATTCTAGTCCTCAGTCACCCCCTTCCACCAGGATCACTGTGACCATGGAAGCCTGTCAACTAAATTCACTGTCTTTGTACCTACAGTAATTAGATTTCTAAGGCCCTAAATACATACACAACAGATGTTGTTTAGTAGCCTTGTCATTAACATGGATTATATGTTTTATGTTCAGTTTCTACTAAACTGTTTTGTTTAATAGACAGAGTCTCGCTCTGTTGCCCAGGCTGGAGTACAGTGGCACGATCTCGGCTCACTGCAAGCTCTGTCTTCCGGGTTCAAGCAATTCTCCTGCCTCAGCCTCTCAAGTAGCTGGGATTACAGGCGCCCACCACCATGCCCAGCTAATTTTTGTATTTTTAGTAGAGATGGAGTTTCATCATTTGGCCAGGCTGGCCTCGAACTCCTGACCTCAAGAGATCCGTCCACCTCAGCCTCCCAAAGTACTGAGATAACAGACATGAGCCACTGTGCCTGGCCATTCTACTAAAACTTTTAAATTAAGCAGTTTAATGTCTTTTAAGCACAGCCTTTTCCTGTAGCATCTGGCCAGAGTAGATTACTACCCTTACTCAGTTTCTAAATTATGTATAAATGCGCTTTTCTGGGATTTGCCATATAGATACCACTCCTCTTGCGAAAATTCATTTGAAGAAAACTTTAAACTTAGATATTTGAGTGGGACTATTTGATGCAGTTTCAAGAGCATGGGATTTGAAGTTAGGAAGACCCGAGAACTCATGTTGACATTTGCTCCTAACTGGCTGGGTGACCTTGCCTGGTACAGAGGGGGCAGGCAGGAAATACTTGTTCAGTTAACGAATGAATGAAATTCAAGTGTTATCATGAAAGCCAAAATGGTAATTGTGTTGACTTAACAGAAATGTACTTTGGAAAAAACTTTGAAAGTGCATCTATTCTATGTAAGAGACATTGTTAGAGAAATGGAAGTTCATTTCTGGAACTCTTATTGAGGTGTAGTGCTTAAAGTGAATGTTTCAGCATAGGGGTTGAATCTGTGCATCAAAGCGCATGCGCACATTTGTGTGTGTGCGTGTCTGTGTGCATGTGTGTATGTGTGTTCGTTCTAGGAAGCAGACACGCCCCACTGTGATTTATGCTCACTCTGAATGTCATTTCACATATGCAGGAGCTCACCGGCAAGCTGCCAGTTGAATATCCCCTGGATCCAGGGGAGGAACCACCCATTGTCCGGAGAAGAATAGGAACAGCATTCAAGCTGGATGAACAGAAAATCCTGCCCAAAGGAGAGGTGCGTCCTTCCTTTCTGTTGTTGGATTCGCTCACGTTATCCTACTTTTTCCCATTTGTTAGGCCTTCCAGGTTTTTTGTAACAATTTTTTCCTTTCTGCCCAATGCCAATATTTTTGCTGAGAACTCTTGAGTGAGCTGGCTAGTGGGTATGTGGCTCCCCTTGGGAGGATTCGTTTGCTTGCATTTGCAGGCATTCGGGTGTCTGTTGAAGTTGCTTGTCTGACACTGTGCGCCTAGCACAAGCAGCCATGTTGAGCTTGGGAGAACATTTCAGTAGCATTCCTGTGAATGTTTCTGGCGTCGGCATTGAATCTGTGCATCAAAGTGCATGCATGCATTTGTGTGTGCATATGTGCGTGTGTGCGTGTGTGTTCTAAGAAACAGACATGCCCCACTCTGATTTATGCTCACTCCAAATGCCATTTCACATAGGCATTTGTCCACATTTGGCTTTGTAATGGCCTCCCAGCCCTCAGTTACTCAGAGCCAAGCTTTATGTCTGATCTGTGGAAGCCAAGCCGCCAAGAGAAGGAAACTGAGGCCATAGCATCAGGTGCAAGGGTACACTGGCTGGGGAGAGACCGGTCAGGTGCACCGTCCCGTGGTGGTAGCTTCACCTAGCTACTCAAATCCCCAGGAGAACGTGTGCAGGATGCTTGGGCGCTCCTGGCCTCGCTTGTCTGTGTTTGGAGAAGCCACTTTCTTCCTTCGGATTGAGCACTGATGAAGCTGGGGCTGGAGAGTTCAGATGTGGGGGGAAAAAAAAACAGTGAAGACTTGAATCTCTGGCTAGTTAATGAGAATCCAGCCTCAGGCCAAATGAAAGTAGAGGCCCTGGGGCTTGCCCAGGAAATGCTTTCCCACATTTATTCTGAACCAAGTTACTAATTAACATGTTCTTGAACAGAGGCCTTAAAAGGTCCGGACTTAGAGCCTGGGGGAAAAGGAATACTGTATATTTTGTCTTTTAGGAAATCGATTGGGAAAAACCAACCCCTGGGGTAGGTAGGATTTGGGTAAGGGTGAATTCAGAGAGGGACCGAAGAGCTTGCAGCTCATCTGAGTGTTAGATGAATCTCCTAAGATCTGCAGTGGAAGTTCTCTGGGACACAGGTACATACACCAATGTGTTTCAATCAAAACTAAAGCTCATGTGACTTACGCCTTTTGCTGCAAAATCCCAGCATTTTGGAAGGCCAAGGCGGGCAGATCACTTGAGGTCAGGAGTTCGCAAGCAGCCTGGCCAACATGGTGAAACCCATCTCTACCAAAAAATACAAACATTAGCCAGGCATGGTGGTGCGTGCCTGTAATCACAGATACTAAGGAGGCTGAGTCGAGAATCGCTTGAACCCGGGAGTTGGAGGTGGCAGTGAGCTGAGATCTTGTCATTATACTCCAGCCTGGGCAACAGACTGAGACCCTGTCTCCAAAAAAAAAAAAACCCTAAAGCTCAATTAGACAGTTCCTGGTCTATAAAATGGAGCTCATGGCCCTTACTTCTTTGGATGTCCCTAGGATTGAATGAGCCGGTACTTGTAACTCGTGATGCTCAGCAAACAATTGCTTGAGGGGAAAGGGAGATGGAATCTCAAAGGAAGGGAGATACACTCAAGGCAGGGACTGCAGGGGACGGAGGATGCGACTGAGGTCAGGTATTTCCAAATCCTGCCGGTCATTAGAGACTCCCTCAAGAGGAACTTCAGCTCCTCCTGTTGCTGGGCGGATACCTGGCCCTTAAGCTTTAAAGAGGGACCCCACTTTTAGGGAGTTCCCCCCAACACTGTTCCTCCTTGGTCTTCCCAGAGTCCCACCGCCCCTTTCACACACCTCAGTACCTTGTGACCTTAGCTCCGTGAGAACGCCTGAGGCATGTACTTCCTTACTGTCACCACACAGGATCTTTCCTAAGTTTGTACGAGGAAGCAGCCCGGGAGCAGCTGGCGTTCTGCAGAGTACCCCGAGAAGCATGACATCCTCACCTGCGGATTGCACCACTGCACTCCAGCCTGGGCGGTGGACTGAGACCCTGTCTCAAAAAAAGCAAAAGAAAAAGAAAAATCTAAACTAAAGCTCCGTTAGGCAGTTCCTGGTCTGTAAAATGGAGCTTTTACTTCTTTGGGCGTCCCTAGAACTGACACCCAAAGGAGGAAAGCAGAGCTGCGCACTGCACTGCGGCTCCTGGAAATGCGCTTGCTTCCCGTTCGTACACTAGGCAGCCGTTTGCACGGACAGGGCATGCAGCCTTGGACTTGTCTTAGTTTAAATAGTGAGAATTTGTCCTGGGCCCCCCACAAAACTCTGAATCAGAGTCTGGCGCCAGGGCTATTGTGACAGCTCAGGAACAGCTGCCCCGGGGAGCCCATGCTCACAGAACAGTCTTTGTCCCTTGGTGACTTGCCTATTTCAAGACCGCAGGCAGGAGTCCATGTCGATGTTCTTTTCCCTCTGAGAGAACAAATGCAGCCAGCACTGGCAGGATTTGGCAGGAGTTTATTATCTCCAAAATAGTTCCCTTGAACCTTCACCATTTTCTCTCACTCCTGGTTCCCGCTCCCTTTAGACTTAAAGTGCTCAAAAGTCAATGAGATCAGGCTAAGAACTTCTCCCTGATGGCGGCCCCCAGCTTGGTGCATTATGCACAGAGGCAAGGATGTTTTACTGAGCCACTAAATAGGAAGATCTGTTGATTCCAGCCAACAGTTGATCTCCTCCTATTGGACTAGATCAGTTCCCATCCAATTGCAGCATGTCTGTGAATTTCCTGGGGCAAGTTGTGTGCTCTCTTCCTGGCCTTGAGAGGCTGCTGATGCATTTGTCCTGGGTTTACTGGCTGTGGAGTTAGCCAGACATCCTACATCTCCTGCAGGCTCCCAAGTATGCCCACCCTGCAGGACCTGTCAGTAAGACAGCTCACTGCTCAAAATCTCAAACAAGAAGATGCTAGGTCTGATCCAGAGGGGTTTTACTAGGGAAGGGAGGAAATAGAAAAATGAACAATCTGACAATTTGGGGGGATTCTGCATTCACCCCCAAATCCTCACACACGTACGAGCTGCCTTTCCCATCCCTCAGCAGCTGGTGAACACGCATCTGCAGAGGAGAGGCTTGATCAGCAGAGAGGACAGCAGCAAACAGGCTATCTAGGTGTCATCCGTTAGGTCCATCAGGCATTTCTGACAGCCACAGCTTCATTCTTCCAGGTCCCCAAACTCTGTTTAAGGAGAATCTCATCCATCTGCACTTCTTGGCCAAAGGAAGGGATGGAGGTGGGAGGGAGCTACACTACAAAAAGAGGAAGAACATCCAATGAGCTGGAGGTATGGGGGTGGACTGCCTCCACCTCCACCCACTGTCCATCCCTGCCCCTTGAAGTGCCCAGGCGTAGCCCAGCAGGCATCCATGAACAGGCAGATGTGGGACAGACAGCCAGAGCTTGCAGAAGAGCTCCCGAGACTGGGTGCAGTGGCTCACACCTGTAATCCCAGCACTTTGGGAGGCCAAGGCGGGTGGATCACCTAAGGTCAGGAGTTCAAGAGCAGCCTGGCCAACATGGTGAAACCCCGTCTGTACTAGAAATGTAAAAGTTAGCCAGATGTGGTGGTGTGCACCTGTAATCCCACCTACCCATCTACTTGGGAGGCTGAGGCAGGAGAATTGCTTGAACCTGGGAGGCAGAGGTTCCAGTGAGCTGAGATTGCAGCACTGTACTCCAGCCTGGGCAACAGAGTGAGATCCGTCTCAAAACAAAACAAAACAAAACAAAACAAAAACGAGCTTCTGAAAGACACACGGATGAGTGGGGATACGCGTCTTTCCCCACATCCCCACAATATGTGAAACTACAGGGAAAGACACACTATGTGGGTCAGAGCCCCGAGGGTTAGATGCATGTGAGGGGCACACAATGTCTGAGTCAGAGGCCCATGCGTTAGGTGCATGTGTGTTAGCTCCTTGGTAGCAAGCCCACAGAGAAGAATGGCATAAAGAAACTGTAAGAATCATGCTGCATCCTACATCCAAAACAGAAAGGAAGTGGCAATTTCGAAGCCTCTGTGGGCTCTGAGTTTCCACAGAGGCTTTGGTTTGTCTTGATGGACTTTTCTGGAGATATTGAAACAAAGCCAGGCGGTCCCTAAACCTGCAGCATGGGAACTCTGTTCTCAGTGATGCTGACGGCGTTCAGACCATCACTTGTCTCCGAAAAGTAACAGGAGCAAGGGTTGTGGCAGTGGGTGCACCTGGGGACTCCAGTGGGTGAAGATTTTAGGATTGGGGCCATTCTTAAGAGTGTCTCCCAAGGAAGTGGGCTTGCCTTGGGGCTGGGGTTAGAAGAGGGGTTAGATGAATGTCTCCTTGCTTAGCATCCCCAATGATGCAAACTGGTGCTTTCCCTCCCACAGGAAGCTGAGCTGGAACGCCTGGAGCGAGAGTTTGCCATTCAGTCCCAGATCACAGAGGCTGCCCGCCGCCTAGCCAGTGATCCCAACGTCAGCAAAAAACTGAAAAAACAAAGAAAAACCTCGTATCTGAATGCACTGAAGAAACTGCAGGAGATTGAAAATGCAATCAACGAGAATCGCATCAAGTCTGGGAAGAAACCTACCCAGAGGGCTTCACTGATTATAGACGGTCAGTGCCAACCCGGCTGCCCCCACCCCACTCCCATGCCCAGGCCTCGGGAATCAGACACCAGGTTCCGCGGGTGGTCCCTGCATGACCTGAGCAGCTACCTAACTATGGTGCCTTCATTTGCCCATTCGTAAAATGAAGCGAATAAGGCCTGATCCCATCCCACATGAGAGAAGCCATGTGGACCCAGACACAGGTGAAGGGATTGTGTGAGTCAGGCTGTTGGTATCCGTATTGTCTTCCTCCCTGGGAGAACCTGCAGCCAGGAGCTAGCATTCTTCTCAGCCCTCACTGTGAACGGAGTTGAGTTGACTGGGCTGGCCCAGGCTCCGACACTCTCAGGGACCTGACCGCCCCTACTCAAGTCTGGAAAGACAGTGGGGCTGGGGTACACAGCAACAGTGACCCCTCTCTTTGAGCAGCCCCTGCCAACCTGATCGCCCATATGCCTCCAGGGGCCTCCTATCCCAAGAGCTGAGGCTCAGGGACACTGGCCTCTCCGATTGTCTGGAACCCTGACTGAGGCTTGGGGAGATTCGCCCCTCCGATGGTCTGAAACCTGAGCTAAGGCTCAGGGACACTGGCCCCTCCAATGGTCTGGAACCCTGACTGAGGCTTGGGGAGACTGGCCTCTCCGATTGTCTGGAACCCTGAGCTGAGGCTTGGGGAGACTGGCCCCTCCGATGGTCTGGAACCCTGACTGAGGCTCGGGGACACTGGCCCCTTCGATGGTCTGGAACCCTGACTGAGGCTCAGGGACACTGGCCCCTCCGATGGTCTGGAACCCTGACTGAGGCTCGGGGACACTGGCCCCTCCAATGGTCTGGAACCCTGACTGAGGCTTGGGGAGACTGGCCCCTCCGATGGTCTGGAACCCTGAGCTCCAGTCAGGGGTTAGGAATTTGGGTGATTACCTTTGGTTAACTCTAGAAGCAAATCTCACAAAGTCTACCCACAAAGCATCAGGTCCCCTAAAATGTTAGAATCCTTCTAAGTCAGTGACTTCCTGAAACTATACAGTAAGCATTCTTTCCTCCATGTGTACGCATGTTTAACGTACTTTTGCTCTAAAAAGACAAAAAGTAGAACAGTGTTTCCATGGGATTAGGGGACAGGGGAATGCGGAGTTGCTGCATGATGGATACAGAGTTTCAGTCTGGAAAAATGAAAATATTATTCAAGCAGTTGATGGATGATGGTGATGGTTGTACAACAGTATGAATGTGCTTCAAGCCACTGAACTGTACAGGTACAAATAGTGAAGCTGGGATGTTGGCATGCGCCTGTAGTCCCAGCTACTCAGGAGGCTGAGGCGGAAGGATCACTTGAGCCAGAGGTTTGAGACTGTAGCACACTATGATTCTGCCTGTGAGTAACCATTGCATTCCAGCTCAGGCAGTGTAGCAAGAGTGCATCTCTGAAAAAAAAAAAAAATGTTAACATCGTAAATGTAATGTTAATATATTTCACTACAATTGCAGAGATAGATAAATATAGATAGATACAGATTTGCAACCTAAACTCAGTATCCTAGGGTAGCAGTGATGTGCTGGAGATTCCACCATGCCAAAGTCAGAGCTATTCTCATAGTCCATCATGCAATATAAATAAAGTGAATTCTTAGTTAAAAAGAGAGAAATTTTTTTTAATCTTTTGGCACTAGGAAATTTGGAATAACCGACTTTCCCCATCTTACCCTGTTGTCCTTGGCCAAGACCACACAACTTTCCCCCCACCTCCTAGTGGAGCTCCCTCAGCCGGGTGGAATGCAGTGGCACGATCTCAGCTCACTGCAACCTCTGCCCGCTGGGTTCAAGCAATTATCTTGCCTCAGCCTCCCAAGTAGCTGGGACTATAGGCACGTGCCACCATGCCCGGCTGATTTTTTGTATTATTAGTAGAGACGGGGTTTCACTTTGTTAGCCAGGATGGTCTCGATCTCCTGACCTCATGATCTGCCCGCCGTGGCCTCCCAAAGTGCTGGAGTTACAGGCATGAGCCACCACGTTCAGCCCTAGCTCTCTCTTTCTGACACCCCATTTGAGACCTTCTGCCCCCCTCCAACGCAACTGGGGGTTTCCAACAGAAACATTTTCTTATAGAAACATCCAAGGGCCTACCTGAGCTAGAGGAGTAATTAAGGTTCTTGCTCATTCCTTAGCATATTATTTTAAGAGAGAAAACACTAAAGTTGGAATCTGAAGACTTGAGACCTTGGTTCACGTTGCCAGGGAGCAAAACCGCCTTCCCTTACTACCCCTCAGTTTCCCCAGCAGTGAAGCAGGCAGGATTATTTTACTGTCTCCCTCTTGGGCGTGTTCTCTTGGTTCACTGAATGACATCTATAAAAATAAGCTTTGGAGAGATGGAGCCTGTATTTAGCATGCTTGTTTTCTCTGCTAACGACTGACAAAGTTTATTGAGAAGCCATTTATTGCCATAGGAGCAAAGCAAAGTCCCTACCCTAGTTTCGCATTTGTAGACTAAAAGCAGTTCGCTTCCTTTGGTTTTGCTGGTACATGCCCTGGGTTTATGCAGGGACAATGATGTGGTTTAATCAGGCTGGGGCATTGTAGCATTCTGTGAAACCAGGGCACAACACACAAAGGCTAGGGCACATGGCAGCGTCGGGGTGCGGAGGGTGAGCTAATGACCCGCCACAGGGACTTTCGAAAGAAACACCCAACAGCATTTTTATTATATCTCGTAGGTTCTTTCTGGTTAAAAAGAGAAAGGTCTGGGTGGTGGTAGACATGCTGTTTTTATAGACAGGGCTTGGTTGGAGGAATGTGCTGAACTCAGACGCTGTTGCTTTTTGTCTTCTCAGATGGAAACATTGCCAGTGAAGACAGCTCCCTCTCAGATGCCCTTGTTCTTGAGGATGGTAGGTTGATGCATTTCCTCCCCACAAACTTGGAACCCCCAAGTGCCTTGGAAGGGGGCACAAGGTCTCAAATGGGGCATCAGAAAGAGAAAGCCTGGCTGAGGGAGCTCCACTAGGAGGTGGAGGGAGGTGCTAAGTAAACGGAGATGAATTTAGATAGTCTGGGGATTGCCCTGTGTAAAGACACTAGCCAGGCCAAAAGGCAGCTGGGCTCCCAGCAAGCTCTCTCAGTTCCCAGTATCCACCTGTTTGGTTGGGAGTGGGTAGGTGCTGCATTAACCCATGTGTATTGGAATGTTAGAATTTCCTGTGGCCCAGATGTAAGTTCATCAGTGAGTGATGCTTTACTTTTTTAGAAGCCAAAACTTTTTTTTTTTTGAGACAGGGTTTCACACTGTCACCCAGGCTGGCGTGCAGTGGCGTGATCTTGGCTCACTGCAACCTCTGCCTCCTGGGCTCAGGTGATTCTTCCACCTCAGCCTCCTGAGTAGCTGGGAATACAGCATGCCACCACACCCTGCTAATTTTTGTATTTTTTTGTAGAATCGGGGTTTTGCCATGTTTGCTGATGGGCTCAAGTGACCCACCCAGCTCGACCTCCCAAAGTGCTGGGGGGGATTACAGGCATGAGCCACCACACTCGGCCCAAAACCACATTTTTAGACAGAGAATCTCAATACTAGGCGTAGCTTCCTTTTAAGTATTCATGGTATCTGGAGGAAAAGGGTAGAAATTGATTTAGATCACAAATCAAAGACTGAAACCCACTAGGAGGGTCTAAGGATCATGGGAAGAAATGGAATAAACCCTCTGTCGCTTCCCAGGACAAGAGTGAAAGTAAGAGGGGAGACATCCTGGCAGACGCACAGTCAGGCTGGAAAACTGTCTTCTTACTTCCCATTGAACTCTTAAATCTGGAAGTTAGCAGGATATTTTCTTGGGAAATTCTTAGAAAAACAGAACCGATCCCTCCCCGAAACCCCACCACCACCCTATGTAGGGGAAGTAAGAATTCCAAACCCAGAACCATCTGAGAATACTCCTGTGGCTGTTGAACCATCACACTGGGAGGCAAGTGCGTTAATTATGTGGAAATACATTAAGTGGCAGTTAATTTTTTTGCCCTGTAGGGAAACCTCAGGCAGACAGTGATAAGTGGCTGTTCAGATGGAAAACAGAAAAGGTCCACACTAGTCATAGTAATCATGATAATTGCAATAATAATAATGATTACTCTTGATGTGGGGAAAGTCTGGCGGGTTATTTACCCAGTCACCTTGGCTGTGCTGTTAGAAATCACATTGGAATATTTTTGTCTGTTTCATTACATAGGCGGGGCAGGGGGCTATGGGGCTACAAGGAAACGGGGGGGCTTGAGCATCAGAGATCCCAGCCCTACGGCTGGCCTGAGTACCCCAGTCTCTCCTGGAAAGGGAACAAGAAAGACTGAGAGAGATTCCTTGGTAATAGAGTGGTGCCCTGAGCAAGAGGTGATGTCAGTAGGTAATTTTGAGGTATCATTCAAGGTTCCAGCTTCTCCCCGTGTTCCAGATCCAGACCCTGGACTTCCTCACAGGTGTCATCACATCATTTTACACCCCATGGTCCCATTGCAGGCTCTTTTTTCTGGGGATCCTTCCTTTACTGATTTGAGGGCAAAGGAGGAGTAGGTGCAAAGTGGGTGAACACGGCTGGGGGACTGAGAATGAGGCTGTGAGAGGAATCACTGAAAATGGATGTAGGGGCAAGTGAAAGGTAGTTGGTTGTTTTTAAGGTCTGCTTCTGTCCACCACTGCCCTCCAGCTCCCATCTCTGCCTTCCCCATGAAGTCCAAATCATTCTCTCCTTTCTCTTCTCAATGCTGACCTCCAGCCTAGAGTCCTCGTTTATCCCCCTCCGGTCTTTCTCCCTTCCTTTCTAGTTTTAGAATGCTGCCTGGTGAATACTTGTAAAACAGGACTTTTCACCCTGATGCATCTGTGCTTAAGACATTGCAGAGTTATCCTGTGGCTTTTCAGACTCTCAGCTCCTTAGCTCAGAATTCGAAGCCCCCATCAGCCGGGCTCTTGATGCTCACAGTGCACACAGAAGGCGGCTGTGCTGACCAGAGTGCCTCCCTCAATCTCCCGCTCCTCCTCCCCAGCCCCTGCCCGGCCGGATGTGCCTGTAACCTGGTATCCTGCCCTCGGGGCCTCCACACTTGGTTCAAGCCCTTGGTTCCTCCTCCTCTTTGCCTGGCCACTGCTCAAGCCCCTTCAAGACCAGCCTCTCCCACAGGACCTTCTAGTCTCACTGAATTTGCTTTTTCTGAAAGTCCTCTAGCACACTGACTGTGAGAGCATTCCTTTCCTGGAGGCAGGGACTCATTTATTCATACTTAATCTTTGTAGCTAATCTTCTTAAGGCAGTTTCAAAATTATACAGGAACAGATTAAAAGAGAATATACACAGCTCTGGGGAAAAAAGCACAGAGTAGACACCCCTGTCCCACCCGGCAGGGATTTACAATGGACAGATAGACCTTCATTCATTTTTTTTCACTCCAACCAATGTTTATCAAGCGCTTACTGCGTGTTGGCTGTCATTTACAGCACTGAGGATCTAGCAGCAGATGAAACAGACAAAACTCTCCTGGAACTCAGACCCTCCCAAAGTGAATTAGATGCTTAGTGTTTGTTGAAAGACAACTTACTCTGGAGCAGTAACTACATTTTGCTGTTTGGTGTGAAGCAGTCATTTGTCGGTGCTATTTAATGACGTTCAGACTTCTCTCCATTCATGTCAAATCAAAAGTGAGGCATCTCATTTCCCATGCGGTCCCGCCTGCAGTGGGGGTTTGGTTTGCCTGGTTTGGTTTGACTCGTCTTGACTTGTCTTGGCGACTGGGGAAGAGTCCCAGGGTTTCTCATTACAGGAGTGAAGGAAAGGTGTGGGTTTGGCTGTGTGGCTCCAAGGTGGGGGTGAGGGGCTGGACGAGGTGGGGGGGGGGGCTCTGTCGCAGCCTGTGGAAAGGATGACCGGGGCTCAGTTCCTCTCTTCCTGTCTTTGTGCAGAAGACTCTCAGGTTACCAGCACAATATCCCCCCTACATTCTCCTCACAAGGGACTCCCTCCTCGGCCACCCTCGCACAACAGGCCCCCTCCTCCCCAGTCCCTGGAGGGACTCCGGCAGATGCACTATCACCGCAACGACTATGACAAGTCCCCCATCAAGCCCAAGATGTGGAGTGAGTCCTCTTTAGATGAGCCCTATGAGAAGGTCAAGAAACGCTCCTCTCACAGCCATTCCAGGTGAGCTGGGTCGTGAATGAGGTCAGAGGAGGCCTCTGTCCATGCTTTGGAAGAATCAAAGGGCTGTCCCAAGTAGCATCCATGATGACAAAATCCCCGTCAACCTAGTTCCTCCCTCCGGAGTTTGCCTTTCACGGGGCTGTGCTCACAGCACCCTCTGCTGATGACCCTGTTGAGGTACAGATTTGTGATTTAAAGGGAAATCTGGCGTTTGGCCCACAATCAACGTGATGGCAGATGGCTTGAATGTTGTTAAATTCCAGAGGAATTAATTAGGAGATCTCAGGCAGCACTACTGCAAAATGTCAAGTTGAAGTCCACTGGTAGCAACTGCAGAGTGGTTCAGAACTCCACCCCCTCACCCAGCAGAATTCTCCAGCCAAGCAGCTATAATCCAAGCTCATTACCAGGCCGACCTTGGAGGGAGGGTTTTTTTTTGAAGGCATTTGGGGTCTGCTTCTCTGCTTTTCTCATTTCCTTTAGTCACCCTACTGAGCTCCAAGGGGGTACCACAACAGGTCAATATTTGTTTCTTGGAAAACAAAAATTGTAAGGGCAGGACAGTCACACTGCCTGATAAAAAGAAGGCTGACCAGGGTCTTCGTCTCATATTGCCTAGGGGTTGGGGGGGTTCAGGGACCAGGATTCCTACCCACTGCTGGGGAAAGGCTGAGAACACGGTAGAGGTCTGACCGAGCGAGGTGGGAGTCATTGGCGAGCTTTCCCCATACTGGGATCAATGTCCTGAACTAGCCAGCACCCATCCCCTGCCACCCCCCCCCCCCCAAGGTGCTGTCTGTCTGGCAGTGACCACATGGCCTCCTTGGCTTTGCAGCAGCCACAAGCGCTTCCCCAGCACAGGAAGCTGTGCGGAAGCAGGCGGAGGAAGCAACTCCTTGCAGAACAGCCCCATCCGTGGCCTCCCGCACTGGAACTCACAGTCCAGCATGCCGTCCACGCCAGACCTGCGGGTCCGGAGTCCCCACTACGTCCATTCCACAAGGTGAGTCCGCCCGGCCTTCGGGCCACCTCCCTGCTCAAACCAGACCTTCCTTTTTAAAATTGGGCATTGCCAGCCCCCAGCTGGCCCAAATAATGGATAAGCTGCAGTCAAACCTGAACCCAGGAGGATAAATGAAGCAGAATAAAAAACCTGGCTGGCAGCAGTCAACGCCATTAGCCAAGAGACCCGTGCAGAGGGCACTTGGAGTCAGCCAGAGAATCGCCAGGCTCCTGGAGACAGGGAGCATGGAAAGTTTCCTAATCAAAGCAGAGGTAGCAGAGGCTAGCTGGGTTAGCATGGGAAGAGCTGGGACAGGGTGATCGCTAATCAGTAGTCCTCTTATATCTTTCTACGGAGGCCTAAATTTATACTGGACTTCCTTTAGTGCCTCAAAGTGTAAATTCATAAAGAGCAAAAGAGCCAGGCAAAAATGAGCCTTCAGTGAGTCACAACTTCTTTTTCTAAAAAGAAGCAAACCAGATCGCCACGGGCCATGTGATGGGGGCTTTCAGCTCCCTTCTGAGTAGCAGTCAGAAGTGGGGCTTACCTCTTCCTGTGCTTGGCCAGTGGGGCCACTGAATTTCACATGCAGTCCCAGCATCGGGCAACGTCATCTGCCGTGTGATACTGTCTCGCTCTTCCCTGAGTCCTCAGTGGACTCAAATGAGCAGAATGAATTATAGATAAAGTAATGGTGTGGTGAGTATCTGCATCATTCATTTTTTAATTATTTCATTTGCCACCAACCTTCTATTTCCCAGTTTTCACAGGAAAAGGGAGTCTATTTATATGGATTTTGTGACAGGATTCGGTTAAACTGTAGGACTGTTCTTTGATCTGATCTGTAAATATGGACATTTCATCTGGTTTGTGTTTTGCCTTTTTTTTAAATAGAGACTCCCAGGCTGGAGTGCAGTGGTTTGATCAAAGATTACTGCAGCCTCCAGCGATCCTCGCTTCTCAGCCTCCTGACTGGCTAGAACCACTGGTGTACAATACTACACCCAGCTAATTTTCCAAGTTTTTTTTTTAAAGAGACGAGGTCTCACTATGTTGCCTAGGGTGGTCTCAAATTCCCAGACTCAAGCAATTCTTCAGCCTCCTGAAGCCCTGGGATCGCAGGCCTGAGCCACCGCGCCCAGCCCTGTCTGGTTTAACATGATACTGGAGTCATAATAGAATAATTTCCACTTAAAAAAAAAAAAAAAAAAAAAAGCCTCAGAAATGGAAATACTTCTTTGAGTCCTAGCTTCGGTCCCATTTCCCACTGGGAATCAAGGTAGAGATCCCAGGTTCGCCTCCCGCAAAGGACAGTTCCATTCACCTGGAAACAGCAGGCAGTTTCCGGATCCCCGGGACAACCCTGCTGAGGGAGACTTTGGCTTGCTGGGCTGGGGTCTGAGCCCGCGTGGAGGCCCCCATTGCCCTCCTCGGGACCCCCTCCTCCCCCGGCCCACCCCCTACTTCCCACCCCCAGACCAACCTGGGACGTCTTCTGGCAGGTCGGTGGACATCAGCCCCACGCGACTGCACAGCCTCGCACTGCACTTTAGGCACCGGAGCTCCAGCCTGGAGTCCCAGGGCAAGCTCCTGGGCTCGGAGAACGACACCGGGAGCCCCGACTTCTACACCCCGCGGACTCGTAGCAGCAACGGCTCGGACCCCATGGACGACTGCTCGTCGTGCACCAGCCACTCGAGCTCGGAGCACTACTACCCAGCGCAGATGAACGCCAACTACTCCACGCTGGCCGAGGACTCGCCGTCCAAGGCGCGCCAGCGGCAGCGGCAGCGACAGCGGGCGGCGGGCGCGCTGGGCTCGGCCAGTTCGGGCAGCATGCCCAACCTGGCTGCACGTGGGGGCGCGGGGGGCGCAGGGGGCGCGGGGGGCGGCGTGTACCTGCACAGCCAGAGCCAGCCCAGCTCTCAGTACCGCATCAAGGAGTACCCGCTGTACATCGAGGGCGGTGCCACGCCCGTGGTGGTGCGCAGCCTGGAGAGCGACCAGGAGGGCCACTACAGCGTCAAGGCCCAGTTCAAGACCTCCAACTCCTACACGGCGGGCGGCCTGTTCAAGGAGAGCTGGCGCGGCGGCGGAAGCGGCGGCGACGAGGGCGACACGGGCCGCCTGACGCCATCGCGATCGCAGATCCTGCGGACTCCGTCGCTGGGCCGCGAGGGCTCCCACGACAAGGGCGCAGGCCGCGCCGCAGTGTCGGATGAGCTGCGCCAGTGGTACCAGCGTTCCACCGCCTCACACAAGGAGCACAGCCGCCTGTCACACACCAGCTCCACCTCCTCGGACAGCGGCTCGCAGTACAGCACCTCCTCCCAGAGCACCTTCGTGGCGCACAGCAGGGTCACCAGGATGCCCCAGATGTGCAAGGCCACGTCAGGTGAGAAGGGGAGGCCGGGCGCTGGCGGGAAGGCCTGGGTGGGATCTGCTCCTGGTGTTCAGGGCTATTGCCGGAAGGTACCCTTACAGCTGAGTGCAGTGAGGAACCAGTCAGTCATTCACTCCCGGAACCCTGCTGTCAGCTGCCGGAGACTTGAGGCCTGTGCTGACTCCCCTCCCTAATTGCACCCTAACCGGGCACCTGACCCTCCCGGGGGCACTAGGCCAGCTCTCCCACTTCAGCTTCCTTAGTCAAAGTCTAAACCATCTCTTCCATCCAAGAAAGATAAGTAACGTCTCCAGCTTTATCCAACCAAAGGTGCGCCTTTACCCTAGTGAGGAGAGGATCCCAGTAAGTGAGAGCCCATAGCTGTAGCTTGCAAAGGAAGCGGGGTTGGGGATGCGCTTGGGTCAATCCTAGAGATTGGGCCAGTGTCTCCCCAAGTAGGGGCAGACTGGCTGATAAACAGAGGGCCGGGAGTGCATCTGACAGAATTTCTCACTGCTCCTGGCTTCCCATTTCAATGATGATATGGCATAGCCACACACTAATTTTAGTTAAGTGTCTTCAATATCCTTGATATTATGCCTGAAAATTTCCATAATCTAAGGTTAAGGTTTACCTTATATTCTTGTACTCCACAGCATTGTGCAGTATTGAATCAAGTTTAAAAAAAAAAAAAAAGGTAGAAACCAACCATTCCCTTATGAAGTTATTTAATAACAGTGTCAGTGATGACCAGCACTGAGCAGTTGCCTCGCGCTCTGGTCTCAGCACTCATAAAAGGGAGAATGAGAACAGAAATGGTTAACACTGAGAATAAAATGAGAGTCAGAAGCCAATGGGAGGAGCTCTGAGTCAGGAATTTGACAAAGATCAGGGGAAACAGAGTGACCTGAAAGGTAATGGGGGGTTCATCTTGGGGGAACTGTAGGACATTCTTGGTGCCTGGAGACAGCAGGGAAAGAGGCAGAAGCTGACTGCCCAAGTGAGCCAGGCTCCTGCCTTCTGTTCCCATATCCCTGTTGTTCGCCAAATGACAAGCTCCAGAGATCAGGCAGTCGTGGGAGTTCCATGGACTTCAAGGTCCTGGAACCTTCTTTATATTCCTCCTTCATCTGTAAAACAGCACAGTGAAATTTGCCATTGACTCCCCAGGAACATCTTGAGCACGATCATCTGTGACCCTATCAGATAAAGAACCAGCAATTTCTAAGAGTGTTTATGTTCTATCAAAATTGCAGCACTTGTGTAGTAGATTTGCTTTATGTAAGGAGATTAGGTAGATCTTTTGGAACATACTTTAGACTAAAATTTTTAAAAAGCTGTATCTGAAGTTTACTGATGGAAAAGATTCCATCCCCAAGAAAGCAAAGGATGCGTTTAAGTAGGATTGACGTCCTACTAAATCTGCCTGCATCAGTAAATGCCTAGCAGTCAGGTTTGGATGCGCTATTAAAAGTCCTGCTTTTTTCCAAACGCACTACAGTAGCAATGATAGTAATGAAACGGCAGAGAGCGCAGGCTCTAAGAACCTTTCTGGGTGCACTGTCTTCACAATGGAGAGAAACAGGCCCTTCCTGTATGAGCTCTGCTCAGGTGTTGTCTCACTCAAAGGACATAGGGGCATCAGGTTCTTTGCTGCTGCAGAAGCGGTCACCATCCCTATGGCCACTCCGTGATGGCAAAGTGGGGACCTAGGATCCCAGGTCAGCTTGGCTCAGAAGGAAGGTGCATGGTAGTGGGGAGAAAATGCAATTGGTGGGATGCAGAGGTTGTGGGGTCGGGGGGCGGCATGCAGATGGTTCCCCACTGTGACCTTGCCATAGGGAGGCTGAGACCCTGCCATGGGGTCCTTTCCAGCATTCCTGGACAGGGTGACCTCTGGCCACTGGGTTGGTGTCGGCCAGCAAGTCACAAGCCCCTTCACCTGTGTCTGATCCCTGTCTTCTCTTTGCCTTTGTTGCACCACCTGCATCCAGCTGCCTTACCTCAAAGCCAGAGAAGCTCAACACCCTCAAGTGAAATTGGAGCCACCCCCCCAAGTAGCCCCCACCACATCCTAACCTGGCAGACTGGGTGAGTTCTCCTTCCAGGCCTTTGGCCTGGTTCTTATTCCATGTTCTTCACTGTGTCAGCTCCAAAGAGTATCACAGACGTTCAGATCCTAGTGATATAAGGGTAAGACAGTAAACTGACAATGAGGGTTCATCACTGGGAAGTGTCTTCAAGAGAAGCCCCATGATCTGCTGTCACCTCTGCCTACTCCTTTCCCTGGCTGTGCCTGTACAGAGGTGAACTGTCTGTGTTCTCTTAAAGTAGGCGGTGGTCCTTGAGATGTGGGGAGATGGAAGCAGGAAGGGGGACTGTGCTGCTCGGGTCACATTTCCAGGTAGCATTTGATTTCGGTTCAGATTATACCCAGGCCAACTCAAAATGCCTGGCAAGAATGTCAGGAGGAGAGAGCGAGCTAATTAACTGAGAGGCAGGTGACATCTGCTGTCTTAGGGTGTCTCAGGGTGCAAGAAAAAAGGCTCTGTCCTGGCCAAGTGCTGACAAAGGAGATCAGGTGCCCTGAAGCCTTTCAGTGGAGGCTACAGGCAGCAAAATAAATGAAACCAAAAGGCAGCTTCTTTGATAGCTTTATATGTTTGCATAGAGCATTATAATATTGTGGCCAGTGAGATTGTTCTGACCGACTGGAGGGTCTGGCAGACACAGGTAACCTGCCTGGCCCTTCAGCAGCTGCCTCTTCTGTTGCCCGAGATATGGTCTCTAAGTAGATGTTAGGTTCTGTCAACATCTATTGGTTAGAGGAGTAACAAGTCCCCTTCCTCAGTTTGTCGGAGCATCGGGGGATGTCTAGAAAAATCTGACAACTGTGAGTTGAATCATGAGAAAAGCACAATTCCAGAATGGACTCCACTGCCTGCCCTTCAGGCTCTCATACTTGGAGTCTCCCTCTGTTGCCCAGGCTGGAGTGCAGTGGTACAATCTCGGCTCACTGCAACCTCCGCAGTTCGTGATTCTCCTGCCTCAGCCTCCCAAGTAGCTGGGATTACAAGCATGCACCACCATGCCTGGCTAACTTTTAGTAGAGAAGGGGTTTCACCATGTTGGCAAGGCTGGTCTCGAATTTCTGACCTCAGGTGATCTGCCCACCTCAGATTCCCAAATTGCTGGGATTACAGGTTCCTGGCCGACATTTTTGTTCCTACAAGTTTGTCTGTAGCAATTTTACACCAGGTTTTCTGGCACATTCATTTTTGGCAAGAAAGAAAGGGTCCTAACAAACATTTATCGAGTGCTTGCTATGTACTCAAAGGCTGGGAGCAGCTTCTAACACATATGAGCTTATATAATCCTCACCACACCCTAGCAAGGGAAATACCCAGATGTTTTAGTTTCATAGCTAAGACTCAGGGAAAATAAGTGCCTGGCCTACCGTCGGACAGCTGGAGGGAGCTGGAATTCTAGCCCTGCCCTCTGTGACCTCAAACCCTGTCTTTATCCACTACACCAGTGGTTCTTAAGTGTGGTCCCAAAGCAGCAGCACGAGTGAGCCTCACCTGGGATCTTGTCAGAAATGCAAATTCTCGGGCTCTCCTGTACCTAAAAATCCAAAATTCTGGGGGTGGATCCCAGCAGTCTACCGTCTAATAAGCCCTCCAGGTAATGCTGCCACACGCTCAAGTTTGACAGTCACTGAACGATCCCATGCTGCCTCTGATTCTTTTTCAAATAAGGGAAACGGGAGCCACCAGCTTGGTGCTGTGCCCACTCCTACTTCTCCGTCCGTTGGGCACTGGCTGCCCCTCTGTCCTTACTATAGATCATTAACGTTCACTCAGATACCACCCACACCCCAGCTCTCACCTGTGTGGCCAGGCCGCCTCTATAAGGTTTAGGGTCTAAGAGTCTCAGTAAGATTAATTCATTAAAGTAAGACACATCTTTCGTATATGTAATACATACCTCCACTGACTAAACCACCTCCTTTAAATATGAAACTTCAGATCGCAAGATCCCTCTCTAGAGCTTCCAAGTTTTCTGAATCATGCCCAGTGTCACCAGATCCAAATATATGATTGTATTATTTCACTGGCAGCAAGCTCTGAAATGTACAAGCACTCCTCAGGGTCCTGTGCACTTAAGATGGTCTTGAAACTTGCCTATTTCAGCATCTACAACTAGTGAGGACTCAAGACAAATTTGAAACAAAAGAGCTATTTTGGTTCTTGACATAAACTGTAAACTGTTTGCTATGATGTGATAAGAAATGAGGCCATGAGTAAAAAGTACCAAAGAGGGCCCAGCCCTCCTACCAAACTAGGTCTTGACTCAGTTATGGGGACTGAAAGCTCTGCATGGCTTGTCACTAACTCGTGTGTCTAATCAGGGGCCTTTCCGATGTATTAATAAGCTACTAATCGTGTCTGTGTCAGTTCCTCTCTGTAACATGACCTCTCTTCTCTTCCTCCTTCTGCTTTCCTTTGTTCAGAGAAGCAACAGAAAACTCACCCATTCTGGATGGGTCTGAGTCTCCACCTCACCAAAGTACTGATGAATAGAGGTACCGTAAGGGGAATTTGCTTCCTTCTGCCCATGAGTCTGTGTTCCCACAGGTGCTGCCTACATGTTGCTTTTCTTTATCTCACCATTTCCACAACGAGGCATCTGAATGCTGTATTTATGCCATATTTCTAGATACATGGGGATCTCTATGTTTAGATGAAGGTTCTTGCATCCTATGTTAGATATTGTAAACACTACTTGGCAGAAAAGACCCCCAAAGTATGTTTTGTTTTGAGATAGAGTCTTGTTCTATCTCCCAGGCTGGGGTGCAGTGGCGCAATCTTGGCTTACTGCAACCTCTGCCTCCCAGGTTCAAGCGATTCTCCTGCCTCCCTAGTACCTACAGACACACGCCCAGCTAATTTTTGTATCTTTAGTAGAGACGAGGTTTTGCCGTATTGGCCAGGCCAGTCTCAAACTCCTGTCCTTAAGTGATCCGCATGCCTGGCCCCAAAGTATGTTTCAGGGTCACCATGTTCTACCTACATTCTTCAATCCAAAGCCAGCATTTTGATCTCTACCACCATCACCTGGGAGCTCATTAGAAAGCTCGACCCTGGGCACCACCCTGGCCTACTGAACCTGATGTGCATTTAACAAGATTCCTGAGTAAATCAATGCACGTTGAAATCTGCAAAGCACAGGGGCAGAAAACCTGTGTACCACCTGGTCTGGTTCCTAGCCCTGGGGCCCTTACTACAGTCTGACTGGGACACTAGGCATTGAAATCCAATTGCCTATCAGGAGATATATGAGGGGCATGAGAAACTGCCACACTTATGTATTAAGCGCTCTAAGACTTAGACACAAAGGCCTCTGGTGGGAGGAGAGAGGCTTAGACAGGTGGAGATGGGGAGAGATCATTCCAAGTGCAGAGACGAGGGTGAAGGGTGGTGAACAGTAGAGTCCCTTTTTACTGTAGAAAAAAAAATTGACTTGAAAAGTAGGTTAGGACAGTATGAACAAATTAGGCACTGGAAGGAAGGTGGACTTCCAACCCCATCAACCACATGCCAGAAAAAAAGAAGAGGATGATGTCATGAGTCAACATTTTTGAAGCAGGGAGAATGGCCTTTTTCTCCCCCAGGATGGGGGAGCTGATCATCTGTTCAAGGTGATGGAGGTAGGGATGATAGCCAGAATGTGAGAATTAACCAGGGTTGAAAGAGCTGCTGTGGGAATGTAGGCAAGTCTGCTTGAAATACCTCCACACATACAGAGTGCATGCTCATGCAGACATGTGCACGTGCATGGACACAGACTGAGCGGCAGCCCCTTCCCAGACCAGGTAAGACAGACAGATGGGTCTACAGGGCCTTGTCACCCATCCTCTGGCCTGTGACCAACTGTGGGACTATTCAACAACCCAAGTATGTGTCACCAGTTGGTTTTGTAAGTGAAACCATGTTTCTCAAATATGACTAAGCTATGAAGAGAAAGGACTGCTGAAATATACATTTACAGTAATAATTCAGTTTGAAATTCCTCATTCCTAGCAGCCTTACTTCCCCTATGCCAAGCAGTTATAAATCACAAACTCCAGTGAGATGTGGGTGAATTTGCCGTCTGTCTGGTATCAGGGGGCCCTTGCTTAGCGAGTACCCTTTGCAGGCCACACACCTCTGAGCATAGCCCTGGGAAAGGGCATTCTTGCAGTGAAAAGTCCCCATAGGCACAGGATATTGCAGATTCTGAAGTCACCACTTCTGTGACCCAGAGTGCCCAGGTCAAAGCCAGTCTTGTTGGTCATAGCTGAGAGGGCATGCCTAGATCCTCATCCTGCCCTGGCTCAGGTTCCAGTGAATGACTGACTTCGGTTTACTACAGCAACTATTTAGTGTTCCCATTTGTGTTATTCGTGAAGAATAAATGCTTCCTAAATGGTCTCTTGTTAATTTTGCTTTCACAGCACACGGCATTCCTTAACTATTACCATAAAATTGAATTTGTACTGAGAGACAAAGGCTTAGCTCAGCAGCCACAACAAGGTTTCTTCCCCAAACCTAAGAGACCAACACAGGAAGCAACATTTATAGCTTTAAAAATACCTTGCCTGGGCGTGGTGGCTCGCGTCTGTAATCCCAACTGCACGGGAGGCTGAGGCAGTACAATTGCTTAAACCTGAGAGGCGGAGTTTGCAATAAGCCGAGATCTCACCACTGCACTCCAGCATGGGTGACAAAGAGCAAAACTAAAAAAACAAACAAAAAAAAACCTTACATACTTCAATAACAATGGGGAAGCACTAAGAAAACGTCGCAAGTTTGGAAAAATAAAACTTCTTCTCCGGCTTCATTTTCGGTTTTTTCTTTTATTCCTTTAGTATATAAATTTTAATTTGGAAAAAAAAATATACATGTCGGACTACTCACAGCCTTTTCCGGACTGTTGCAAGTTCCACCCTTCTCAGAGGCAGGAGCAGGCCAGTGGTTTCCATACTGCGGCCTCTCTGGGAGCCGCCTGGGAACCAAACCGCCATTCCAGCATCTCCCATCCCATCATCCAGATCTCAATGCTTTCTCGTACTTGGATTCTGTGACCCAGAAGCCTCCATGATGAAATGCAGGAGAGCAGCATGGGCCAGCCAAGAGCTAGGCTCTTCATGTACCAAATCAACCACCACAAGAACCCTTACCCTCATCTGCCTTATCCAGACGTCGCTGCTTTGAACTCAGTGGTCTTTCCTTGAGCCTTTATGATCAATACATAGTGGACTTTTAGTCCCCCTGAAGCAGGTTATATTGTCACAAAAGTACTTGGTATTTGTGATACAATTATTACTCAACTTTTTCTTTAGGATCCAACATACAAGAGAGTCAACTACATTTTATAATATTAGCTTGAGAGTATTTTTCAAAGTATGCCCTGTGGGTGTTAATAGGTGGTACTGTTCCAGAAGTTCTGAGTCAAACAGCATAATAATGCAGGACTTCTCAGAACCTTTAATATATGTCTCACATACATTTCAGGCCTCTGAAAGGCAGAGTCCTCAAACTTATCCATGGAACCTTTTTTTCCCTCAGAGCATCTCACAGGACTGCTTTGAGAAACACTGGCTAAAGTGGTTCCTTAGACCTCACGAAGCCTCCTAGGGAATTTTTGTCCCAAACAGACGCAGATCGTGCTTGTGTTAGAAACAAGAATTACATCAACAGTTCAAGAAACTACTTAAATGTGCCAGTATTCATTAGCTTCATATGAAAACAAACTCAATTCAACAAGCATAAGCAAACAAGAGCACATACCGGCTGATGTCACTGGAGCCCAGGCTGGCTGGGTCTCATTCCATCTCTAGCTCTGCTTCTTCCACCTGTTAACTTCGTTCTGAGGAGGAAATGACATCCTTGTGGTTTCAAAGCTGCTCAGGCATGTGGCCATCTTTGAACCAGGAACTATGATCAGGGGACTCTCATTGGCCCGGCCCTGTTGGCTTCCTCGTCCCCTGATCCCCGTGGGAGCGAGGATGGAACCGTGGTAGAGAGCACCACCAAGATCACATGGAGTTAGGGAGGGATTGTCCCCCTGGAGGGCCCAGCCACTTCTCCCCTTAGAAGTTTTCCAGTTATTCAGGCACAGTTGCAGAAGTAGCTGAGTCAGGGTGGACAGTGTGCAGGACAGGTGTCCCAGGATCATCCACTTACCACCTACATGGCCAGTGTCATCATCTAAGGCCTTTTGTTACTTTGCTTGTGAAGCTGGTTTATTTCTGGTGCTCCAAGCACAGGACTCTCATTAAAATCCGCCGGCATGTGCACAGATGCCTTGGCATTTTCAGCTTTCATGCTTTTTTTAAGGCCAGGTGAGAAACATTCACAACATCCAGTTGTTCCTGGAGAAGTTAGCAAATGAAACAGAAAATGATATGACTGATGATTCTCAATCGTGAAGCTGTGTTTGGTATTGAAATGCTCCTAAAACTCACCCACCGTGAACTACGCTGGGTTCACGTAGGGTCACTTCCTGTCACCCATCCCTGACCACTCCCCTAGCACTACCCATGGGGAGATCAGTTGCCAGAGAGGAATTCAAAGGGCTCATTCAGGATCACTGGAGAGACACTTTTTCCTAATCATGATCCCTAGTAATGACTATTGACATCCACGTATCTATGATTGTTTAAGATTGACTTCTACCCAACCTAGATGGTGATACCTACCTAAAATATGTTCTTTTATTTTCTTCTTTAGACTTTTCTACATATTTCAAATGAACACAGTTTTATAATCACAAAACAATACATTTTACTTAGAATAAAGCAAAGTCAGCATTGATTTCTTTAAAACTTTTAAAACACAATTCAAAATACCACCGCAGTTTCACTATAGTGAAACTTCACATTTCAAATGGTCTTCTGGGACAGAATATAAATTTCCTAGTGACACCTGTTTTGCCCTGGGGTCTCACAGAGCTGTGGTGTGGAAAAAGACACCTGAGGAAAACAGCGCAGGGGTTCTGGCTTTGGCTGCATCTGAGAATCACCTGGTGGGGAGCTTTGACAGCCCGAGTGTTCACACACCCCAGACCGTAATAGGCCTGCGTCTCCCCGCAGAGGGACCCAGGCATGTGTATTTCTGAGAGTTCCCCGGTGCTCCCCAGATGCAGCCACACTCATGAACCACTGCACTGAGTGTTACTTTCCATCTTCCTCCTTTACAGGAGGCCCCTTTGTGTGTATTTGGAGGGTCTTTGGGGGCCCTCTGTACACACCGCACTGTGGAGGGTCTCAGGCCTCACTGCTCTGTACAGGAACGACACGTGATTAGCACAGAGCCCTGTCAAGCTGAACGCGTCCTCCTCCACTAACTGTCTCATCTCCTTTCTTGGGCCTCCTGCAGGAGCTACAATGATAGCTGTTTCCTGGATTCCTCCCTCTATCCAGAACTAGCTGACGTCCAGTGGTACGGGCAGGAAAAAGCCAAGCCCGGAACCCTCGTGTGAGCCAGCCCGGCCTAATCTGACCGCCTCAACGCCATTCTGAGATCACCTCACTGCCTCTCATTTGCCTTACCCAGACGCACCGTCACCCTGCACCAGCTTCGGCCCTCAGCACTTTTTTTCTCCTGTCTCCACATTCCCTCCCCTTTGAAAACCTGACTGAGGAGACATTCTGGAAGGTTCCGGTCCCACTGTGTGTCCCCTGGCTCTCTTACCCATAGAGAGCCAGACACCAATCCTCAATGGCACCTTGGTGGCTTCCCCCTGCCATGACAGCCCCTAGGCCAGGAATCGTCAAGGGGGCCAGCTGGCATCCAATTCCTGCAGACAAGTCGTGCTGGGAGAGAACCGGAAAGGGGACTTGAGTTACAGGGTGACCCAGAAAGATGACTCAGCTGTGTCCAGCCTGCCACCCACAGGTCAACAAAGCACTTCACCAAGAGGAGGCCTTGTGGCATATTGAGTTTACACCTGAAATATTCCTTGATGAGACAGCTTGTGGGGAGTGGCTGTGTGGGAGGGAGGATAGGAAAGCAAGCTCTCGACACCAGAGATGCATCGGAGGACCACGATCAGTTCTGTGCTGCCAAAGATTAACAAAAACACAAAAAATTAAGAGGGACCAAGAGGAAGACATTCTTTCTGCAAGGAAATTGCTTTTAAATTCTGAACTGCTACCACACACAAGTGAAGGTCAGCCCTGTGTACACTGGTGCCCTCTCCAGCCTTCTCCCTTCATGGTCCACTTCTCTCTCCGTAGAAAGCCTGAGACACTAACCCAATGCAACGGTGAAGACGAGGGAGTCTGGGCTGGCATTGCTGACTCACAGTCGCCATCCATCTGGACATGAAGAGAGACCCGCGGGAGCCGTGGAGGGTACTGTTAGCCCCAGTCCAAGCAGGGGGTTCAGCCAAACCCAAGACTCAGAGCTGCTTTCCTTTCAGGATCTGTAGTAAACGTAAGGTGATAATGGCCAAAAGTGGTTCTCTCTCATTAAAACAACCAGTAAAAGCATATCCTGTTTTTTTTGCACAAGGTGTTTCATTTTCTTTTTTTATGGGAAACCAAGGGAAAAGCACATTGCGATCCATTCAGTGTTTAACTGTCGTGGCTCATTCTCTGTTTGTTAGCAGTTGTGTGACAAAAGAGCTCAGATCCGACTTCTCCTGTGTGTCACTTACTCCAAGAACCCAACGATGCCCTTAGGTAGAAAGATTTGACTCATGTGTCTACTAGCCAACAGGCAGAGCAGGGGTGAAAAAAAAAATTGCAGCTCCCAAAGGGCCCATGTGTCTACATCATCAGTTACTGTCATGCACCACAGTTGTGTGCAGGCACCAAAAGAGAAGGAAAGAGGAAGAAAAGGTAACGTGTGGGAGCTGCACGTTTACATGTGTTTTGAGCTGTGCTTCAAACACAACTGGAAAGCCATCAATCTTCAAAGGCCTCAAAACTACTTTTATAATAACTAACAAGTGCACAACCTTAGTTGGGTTATTCAAGATGGCACAAAAAGGTTTCCGCAGAGGTGGTATGCTGTGCTTTTAGCGCAAGTGGTGGGGGGTGGGGGGTGGTATTTTTTCTCTAATGACTTCCTATTGGAAAGGCATTTGACAGCCAGGGACAGGAGCCAGGGTGGGGTAGTTTTGTGGGAAAGCAGAACTGAAATTAGCTTTAACATCAAAGTAACAGAAAAATCTTCGTTTTTCATGTATGTGGAATCCAAGAATAACCATAGGCTCTACCAGACCAGGAGGGTAAGGAAGGACATTAAAACAAAATAAATACTCACGGTGTTCCTCTGCTGCAGCATGGAGACCACTGAGAGTTGGGCTGGGGCACTCACACCTGGCTGGGGCCTGCCCAGGACAAGGCGGGCCGTGGCCTCCTCCACCAAGTCTCTGTAGACGATTCAGGGCCTGCTTTTCCCAGCTCCATGCATGGCTGGACTGGTGATTGCAGCTTACAGAAGGGATCAATATTCCCAGGACACTTTAGGTGTCCACCTGCGGGATAAACAGAAATCGGTTATATTATTAAATGATTCTAGGGATTCATGGGGGGATATTTTTGCTGCTTTTATTTTCATGGTCAGAGCGACAAAGAGCAGGGATTTTTCTCCCTTTCGCATTCAGAAACGTTATACATTGGGCCATTTTTCGTTCTCTCAAAGAAGATTCATGAATAATCAGACTGAACTGTGTGCAAGAGGAAAAGTCAAAAGGGTAACAGAAAGTGATGAGGTTACATGTTACAGGTTCCACACCATGCATAGTAGTGTGAAATCTAGTCTGGAAAAAACTGAATCAAGATTCTAACCCAGTTGAGAAGCAAGGAATGAGAGGCAAAAAGTCTAAAAACTTGGGTTATGTTTTCAATTTGGGGGACAGAGAAAAACGGAGTGGGAGCAGGAATTACAGTTCCAGCAAACATCAGGATAGTCTGGTAGTCAAGACAGATATTAAGTAAAACAGGTTTTACTGTTTCGCTGAGTTCAGTTAATACAAAATGTACATAAAGCGTTAGTCCTTTGAGGCTGACATGATTAATGATCAGTGTGGTGGGAAACGATATAGTTACTGTACACAAGCACTTGCAAACTCTTTATATATCCCTATTTCTTTAAAACAAAATAAGGTGAAATGCGAAGTCCCTGGTCTGATATAAAGCCCCTACTGGATTCTTCGGATGCATATAAGAAATTGCCTATTTCAGCCAGAAGACTGGTGGAAACACATACATCAGACTATGTTGTGAGCCAGGTTGATTTTTTATTTTATTATATGCAGGTGAGTGTTGAATCTGTTAAAATTCCAATTTGTTTTCATTCAGTATTAGTTTAGTTCTAAATATAGCAAACCCCATCCAGGTGCTATCAGACGACCAGTTACTGCTTAGTTAACTAGGTGTAAAGTTTTACATATACATTCATGTCAATAGTTTATTACGAGTTGTGTAAAATGGACTCTAGTTTAATAATGGGGGGAAAAAAGATTAGGTTGCTCCTGAAACTGACTGTAGAGCATGTAAAATGATTTTACTGGATTCTGTTCAACTGTAATCAATGAAAAAGATGTACGTTGTAGACAAAGTTGCAGAATTAAAAAAGAAATCTGCTTTTAATTTATTCTTTTTGTATTAAGAATTTGTATAGTACCTTTACATTTTGCAAAACAGTGTTGTCAACACTTATTAAAGCATTTTCAAAATGAAAAGATCCCAGCTGCCTCCTGGAGATTTTGTTCCTTTGTCAGAGATAAATGCCTGCGTGTGCTCCAGGAATCTGGAATTCAGGTGCTTTTGTCCTCAGTGGGGCTCCTTTATTAAGGTCAGTCTATGGATGGTATTTTTATGGGCTTGCTAGATGATACAGAGCAGCTTTATTTGATCAGCAGAGGCGAAATCCCTCTTATTCTAGTTTCCTTTTGTTAACTGTAGAAGACAATATTGTGTAAATCATGTATTCCTCCTACTACAAAAAATGACTTGAGATTAGAGGTCAGTCCTTAGCAGGATACTATCTCTGTTCTCTGCAAACAGCTGCCCATGTGTAATATGTGTCAGCTTGAGTACCATCCCTGCAGGACAGTCCACAGCAGAAGGAACACTGAAGGAAGCTAGGCTTTAAGGGTCATCCTTAGTCTCTCCATGCTGTCCCTTGGTTCCACGTAAGATGCAGAGGGTCACTCACACAGGCTGCTCATCCTCTCTGTGACTATCATTGATCCTCTATACTCACACTGCAGCTCAAACCCTGTCACTCAGTCTAAATCACGCCACCACAGCAAGTACCTACTGGGACTGCAAGTACAAAGAGCCCCTGACTTATGGATGAAATGGTGACTGGCTGACCTGAGTAGAGACTGCTGCAATTTAATCCCTGGCCCCCTTACTTAACAAGCATCTCTCACTAGCAAAACTGGAAGTCTGGCCTCCAGCAGCATCCCTGGATGAAAAGCTCCTGGTTGGGAAGCCTAGCAGAAGCCTTGGCCACTAGAGCCAGGTGATGCTGCCAAAAACAAAGATAATCCACTGAGAATCACATCTGGAAGTCGGCCCATCAAGAGTGTTCTCTACTTCCTACATCCTAAAAACTGCCCATGGGAGACCCTGAAGCCTCCATTCCTTGGGGAAGCAACCAGCCCATCTCAAAATAATCTACACTTAAAGGAACCTTATGTAAGTCTCTTACATGTAAATATGTCACAGCTCAGCAAATTAACCTATTATCTTCTCATGAAGCTCTATCATGAAAGCAACTGGATAGGAAGATCCTCTTCCCATTTCTTTCCCACCCCTTCCTAATTCTCACCTCTTCATCTATCAATCTGTTTATCGGTCTCCCCTTTCATTGTGCCAAAAAGATAATTCCAAACAGTTGATATTAGAGAACACAAAGTAAAGACCCCACTCCTAGTAGAAGGTATTGCAAACAGCCAACTGTTTATTTTCCCAGAATACCAGTTCAAAAAAGTTCTATGTAAAACCCTTTAAAAAGATGAGTGTGAAGTCAACACTGATGAGAGCCACCAGGCAAGCAATGGATCTCCAACAAAGTCACTTCATTGCACATTTGGTGCAGAGGTCCAGTTCTTAAAAGCTTACTCTCACAGATGAGACAGACAGGCACACAACCACAAATATGGGGAAAGGAGGTCACCAGCATTAAACAGGAACAAGAGATTAAAATTATTCCTGAGGATAAGCGATCAATGAGTGCGTAGACAGGGCGTCTCTCAATGGGACCTAAGCTGAGTGGTCAGAGATGGCAGGGAAAAAGTAGAAGTGCTGCAGAGTTCTCTCCAGCAAAGTCACTATCTACTCAGGCAACAGCTGAAGAACCTGCACTGCATTCAGAAGAATAAAGCAGTGTGGACAGTAACTGCAAGAGCCCATAAAATTATAATGGCACCAAGACTGGCTTTCTAATCAGAAACCCACTTCTACCTTCATAATTTTTATCCCCACAAGCTGTTTTTTCCTTCATTAATCCATTTTCTCTCAAACGCACTGCAACTATGCTTTCATCCCCTCCACTATACTAAGCCCGCTCTTGTCAGGGCCAACAATGGCTCCCCTCAATGCCAAATCCAATGGTTAACTCTGTTTTCATCTAGTATCACTTGCCAGCAACACTTGCTGGAGTGTGAAGAAGTGGGACACTTCATTGAAACACTTTCTTCACTGGGACGTCAGGATGCCACGTTGTCCTGGTTTTCCACCTGTTACCGTCATCCAGGGCTCTCCTTTTCAATCTCCTTGGTAATTTTTCTTCCCTGACTTCTTGGCATTGCAGTGTCCCCAGGCTCAGTCCTTAGACTCCTCCTCTTTATTACTGACAATTACTCTTTAAAGCTCCTATCTAGTCTCGTGGCTTTAAATGCCATCTTTATGTTGACGACATCTTTATTTATCCCTACACCCTAGACCTCCTCTCTCAAAGTTGTACATCCTACTGCCTGCACAACATCCCCACATGGATGTCTAACGTGCTAACACATCCTGAACTAAACTCCTGACTGTTCTCTCCAAAACTGCCTCACGAATGACCATCCTCAGCTCAGTTATAGGCAACTCCAGGCCTTCCAGTGCTCAGGCCAAACATTTTAGAATCATCCAAGATTTTTCATCGGCTTTATTTTTCATCAGCTTTCTTTTCCTCGCACCTCACATCTACACAAAACAGATGCAAATTCTCTACCCTTGTTAAGACTTAGATTACACTGAGAGTGGAGGGGGGCAACAGAAAGTAACTTAGGTAACATAATAGATTAGGAAAAGCAGGACAGTGGAAGATTTAGCCTACGACAGAAGGAGGAACAGCTTTTTCTCCAAAGCAAGTAAGACAAGATGCTGGTGGGTTTGGAAGTAGAACTAGACCTTAGGATTGCCTCCATATTCAAGCTGTATGAGAAGGGTAGGTGACGCCACCCTCCAAGTGAGATGGGAAGGAGGCAGCAGGGTAGGATCAGGACAGAGCAGAGGCGTCAGGAGAGCTATGGCAGGGAGGGTCTGGCTGACAGTGGATGCTTAGACTGTGAATTTCCTCCAGCAGCAGTTACTACAGTGTCACAGCCTGGGAGAAGGGAGATTGGAATGAATCTGGCTTGTGTTTTGTCATCGGGTATGCAGGGCAACAAAAGCATGCGAGGGTAGACGGGACTGGAGGGTGACTGAAATGATGGTAATGGGATCCAGACTGACTAAAGAGAAAACGGAAGCTGAAAAGGTGCTGATTAAGTAGGAAAAACAGAGGAGTGAAGGGACAGAGGTCTTAGGAACTGCAGGGTGGGAATCAAGGAGGGAGCAAGGAGAGGTCTTCATGACCAGGGTGTAGGTGAAACATTTGTTTCCCCTAATCCTGCAGCTCTCCCCATGGGGGTGAATCACATCATCTAGGGAGAGATCCCTATGTTGTGATAAGGAAAGCTAGTGAAAAATCCACCTGAGCTTGGGATTGTGTAGACGCGTACCTGGATCTCATGGCTCTTTTCCAGAAGCTGAAAACCTGGTTGCCTGTTGTATCTCGGACCAAGACCACAGCAATTATTCTAAGAGAGATGACTGAAAAACGACTGTCAACCAGTGAGTGAAGAGGTGGGAGGCAAAAATGGGCAGTTATCACAGAGACAACGGCAGTAGGCAGCCACCACGCTTAGGGCTGGGAATCACAGGCATGGCCCGGATCATTAAAATGTGGAAGCTTTTCCAGGAGCTGGGAGTGAAACCCGTCAGGAGTGAACACCACTACCCCAGTACTGGCACCTCAGAAATGTGAGGATCCCACAGAGCTGGGATTCAAAACTCTGAAGAGGGGGCACCGGCCGACAGTGCTGCGATCTTTGAGTGGCAAGATGAAGCTGGTTCTACGCGTGTGGAAAAGCACACCCTGGAACCTACGATTCCTTCTGGAGTGAAGAGCCACTGCTCAGCTTCTCGAGAACCACGACTGTGCCATTGTTGTTAGGAACAGGAAGTGAGAAAGGGGCAGCTCCCTTTTTCCTGCCTCCACGTTCCAATCTCTTACACGTCTGTTCCTGGTGGATCCTAACAAAAAGCTACCCAGCAAAGGACAGATGTGGTTTGCAGAGTCTCATGACAAAGTAGAGTATGGAAGGTGTGTGTTGAGCTGAGACAACAGCCTCACAACCACCTCTCCTGACCAGAAACTGGGCCCTTATCCTGAGTCCTGGCTACAGGTTCCTAATCAAAGGATGAACTAACAGGCTCTCAAATCTCAAAGAGACCTATAAAATCTATTTCTATCATATTTAAGACAAACTAATCTTCAGCTTTTTAATTTTTAAAAAATTTTATAAAGGTCAAAAACACAAGCACTTTCTGGCCCATGTTAGTGTAACTTGAGTTGCTATCTCAGAAGGAACTGAGTAATAACAAGTCAAAGCAGATCAAGCTGCTTTTCTCAAAATGATGAAATCACAATCATGTATTTTCTCAACCATTTCCTTATAATAAATCTCTCTCCCTCCCCCGCCAACAACCTTCTCTTTCTCCCTCTCAATCTCCCATCTCTTCAGTTTTCTGTAAAATATTAATAGAGCACTTGAAGTTTTACATAAAATGATTCCAGGACGCCATTTAAAAAACCCAAGCTTTATCTTCTGCTTGGCAGCATTTAGCACATCTTCATCATCAAGATCGCAGGATGGACACCAAGCACCTATGCATCATGTTCACAGGGAAAAGAAAATATCTATGTCAGTTAAGTCTCTCTGTCTCTTAGAAAACCAACAGTTTTCCAGGAAATCCCACTCACCCAACAGACTTCTGTCTGTATCTTCTTGGCAGGATCATGTGACATGACCAACCCTCACTACAAAAGGTCCTGGTAGGGCAAGTTGTTTTAACTGTGCACATTACAGTTCCAAACATATTAGGGCTCTGTTAGCAGAGAGAGAGAGAATGAAATTTGGGTAAGTAACTAGCAATATCTACACCACACATATATGGCACATAAACTTGCACACCAAAAGCAGCAAAACAAAAATAGCCATGTCTCGAATGAAAGCAATCCAATACAACATTTAACAAAAACGTGCAAAAATTCACATAATTTCCTCTTCTCACAGATCTTACTCTCTTAAGCATGTCATTTAAACAAGAGGA